CACTAGAAAGGACAAGCAGACTGGAACAGCTACAGTGACAGATGATGCATCTTCATGATGAACCTGACCTATACTCAGAGCGGTAGTTACTCTAAATAGCAACAGAGAGGTAGGAGTCTCCAAATCAAGTATCATTGCTATCTGCTCTGTTCACAGGATATATAGGGACGGGCAACTTAGACATTGGCTACCTAAAATGAGGGGGCAATAAAGGCACGAAGTGACTGGCTTACAAGGTTTCAAGAGGGAGTTTAGTTTAAGAGTATGGGGGAATGAAAGAGTCCCCACTGAATAGCTGTCATCTTGTTTAGATGGGTCTGGTGAAAAGAAATGGGGATAACATTCGTTAAAATTCAATAGTGAATAATTGTTATCATGACTAATTGCCACTGTCACAACTATAAAGGTAGAAGTTTTGTAACAAAAAAAGGGGAGTGGTTAATCTTACAGTCCAGACACAGAGGACCCTAGGACCATCAAAAGAGAAACACACAAGCAGAATGCCGGACCTTATCCAGAGAAGCAGCAGCGCCAGAGATGGAGGCAGAGATGGGGGCATGGAGAGGGGGTGCGGCTGAGGACTCAAGATTCATGGACTAAGAGCTGGTGGCCAGGAGGCAGACTTCCAGAATGTCCCCTTTGGAGATGTAAATTATTATATATGCCTAAGTGCTTTTTTTTTTTTGTTTGTTTTTTAAAAGCTAAAGTGGACAGAGAGAAATATGGTTAACTGATGGTACATGGAGGGGATTATAATCATTGCAACGAAACAAGGTATATGATTTGTGGAAAGTAAAACTGATGATATGCCCTGTAATCTTTCACTCACTCAATCCACAATAAAAACTTTAAATAAAAAGAAAAGAAAAAAAAATATATCAATAAGATTCTTATGATTCAATAGTAATTGTTATCATGACTAATTGGGACTGTCACAATTGTAAAGGTAAAAGTTCTGTAACAAAAACGGAGGAGTAGTCAATCTTATAGTCCAGAAACAGAGGACCCTGGGTCAATCAAGGGAGAAGAGCACAAGCAGAATGCAGGACCCTAGCCAGAGAAGGAGCGACACCTGAGAAGGAAGCAGAGATGGGGACATGGAGAGAGGGAGCAGCTGAGGACTAGATTCATGGAAAGAGAGGGACTGAGAGCTGGCGACCAGGAGGCAGACTGCAGAATGTGACCTTGGGTGGTTTGAATTATTATACATGCCTGAATGTTAAAAAAGAAAAAAAAAAAAAAGAGCTAAAATGAATAGAGAGAAATACTGTCAACTAATGGTACATGGAGGGGATTATTATCATTGTAATGAAACAAAGTATATGATTTATTGAATGTAAAACTGATAATCTACCCTGTAAACTTTCACTCAATTTACAATAAAAACTTAAAAAAAAAAAAATTATATATATATATATTGCATATATCAAAAACTGAGAGACTGAAAGAATGCAAATACAGAATCGGATTTGGAAAAATTATATATTAGGCAAAAAGCCATGTACAATAATGATATAAAGGGTTCGATTTCTTTTGGGGATAGAGTAAACTAGTATACTTCTGTTTATAGATGCAGATATTTTTCTCATCATTCTATTGGGTCCACGAAAAGGTATCACTTCTAATCAAATCGAGACAGATTCAGAGGGCAATAAACAAGTAATCAAAATAGTATGGTTGGTTTAAACAGTGACAATATTGCTATTTTTAATAACAATTTATAATTATTGCTACAGTAAATATGCTTTGTGTTAATACTTACCTTTAATCCATACAAGCCAGGACTTCTTGCAGAATTTTGTGTTTTATGGGGTTGAGGAGGTATAAATGGGAATAAACACTCTGAAAGTCTCTGGAGTTCTGAGAAGTACTAAGATCTACATAAATTCCAAATATAAGACTGGCCACAGTCTGTATTTCAGAACTCTTCTCCTGCCTTCCAGATCTGAATGTTTGAACTTTCTTTGAGCTTAGTCCTCTCTTTCATAAAGCTTAACTTTTCCCCCAGGGGAGTTGGGTTAGATCTGATGTATAAAGATTTCTCTCAGGTTCTTTGTACAGCCCTGGTCAATCACTGATTAATTTCACAAACTTCTTTCCTCTGGATTATTGTTCTTAAGCAGAGTAGGTTCTGATTTACAACACTACTGTTTACAATTTTGAAGGCTGTAAATCTTTGCAGAAGCAGAAAGTCTTATCTTTCTCCAGACGGGCTTGAACCGCTGACCTGGTGGTGCTCAGTCTAGTGTTTATCCTACAGTCACCTTGCTCTCTTCCCCTGGATAGTGGATATAAAAAGCATACATACTGGGGAGGTAATGCCAGACCTAGAACACCATATCACGGAGTCACTGAAACCCTTGAGCTATAATATTAACTAAGTAACTCTTAAGTATGCTGATTCATGGTATGTAAAATAAGCCTGGCACCAATTTTCTTCTAGTAGTTAATGGTATTATTGCCAGGCCAGATCCTAGGCCAGTGACCTGGTTATTAACAGCAAGGCCCTGTACTGAGGGAAACAAGCAATAAGGGGGAGGAGGCAATGCGGGACAAACCAGTGGGGAAACAAAAGGGTCTCAAAGCAGGGAGGTGCATGTGTCCAGGAGCCTGCAATGGCCTACACCGGCAGGAATAGGTTACTGCAGCTTATCAACCTCAGAAAGCCCTTCCCTTAAAGTGTTGTAAGTTCTAGGACGAAGGACACACCTACATAAACAGTGTTCTTGGCTCCTCCCAAAGCTGATACCATATCCTGACCACTGGAGGAGGCTCTGGACATAAAAGTTTTTCCGCCACTTAGTTGATAGTCAGTGGGTTTTAAATTTTTTACATTTTGTGTCCAGTAGCCTGCAAATAACTAGAGCAGCAGTGAGAACCTTGATAAAGAAAACATGATGTGTCCTCCGCTCAACCTGCGGCCAGCAGTTAGCTCTGTCCTGACTCTGGCCTTAGGCACCAACCTTCCCCACGGAGCAAATTCCAGAACGTAGGGGGCCAGGGTGGTGCTACCCTGGGCACGTGTTCCAGGAAGTGACCGCCGATGCTTCCCCCACCCCCACCCCAGCCTCGCTGGACCATGTAATAGCAGTTTACAAAACCGTGTTAAAGGGCACACTAACCCTCCTCCGCGTCCCCGGAGCCTCCCGTTCCCGGGACACGCGCCCCTCCCCCTCCGCACCCGTGCCGGCCCGGCCACGCTGGGAAGTGCAGGCAGGGCTGGTCGCCCCCAACTCCCCCAGCAAAGCAGCCTCGGCCACACGGCGAGGAGCACGTGCGAGGACCGGTGCAGGGGTGGGGGGCGGGGGTCGAGGGGAGAGCTGGGGCCGGATGGGAAGGGAGAAGAAACCGGGAAGGCGCCTGTGAGCCCGGGCTAACCGGTGGCCACTTACGAGTCTCCCAGATAGTCGTGGAAACGGATGCGGCCGACCGTGCTATTGGCCTCGAAGTTGGGGGCCTCATCCCCAAGAAGCAGACCTCCGGGCATGGCGGCAGCGGTGACGTGGACGGTGAGGTAGCGCAGCTGCAGCAACCTCTAGCCGGCTGGTTGTGGCGACGAAAGTGGCGGCCCCCGCTAGCTGCAGAATAAGTGAGGGCCCCCAGGGGAGAGGCGGGGCGAGGCGAAGGCGGGGACTGGGGGCGTGGCCTGCTGGGATCTGGGGGCGGGGTCGCTGCCGGCAGAGGCCGAGCCCAGAAGCTACTGGCGCGAACGGTGGTCCTGGAGCGGGCGAAATGATGTCTGTCGGCGTGTGGACTTTAGCGTTGCTCACCTTTCACGTGGCGTGGGGCTGAATGACGTCTCGACCGGTGGCTTGAGGGTTCACAGAGCTTGACCTTGCAGGGCGCCTGGGCCTTGGGGTAAAAAGAAGCGGAAAGCCAAGGGAAGGGGGAATCCCAAGACAGAAGATCGCGGGGGAGGGTAGGCTCAGGCACTTGGAGTACAGCTCCGCCCCGGGAGCCGAACCGCAGTCCGCACAGACTTTCCTGCACGTCTACTCGCGGCTAACTGCGAGGTCGGGTCACCTTTCCTCCCAGCCCTCCTTAATAGTGAGAGCGTCCGGAGCCCTAGCCACCCCAGCTAGCCTAGTTTTGATCACTGTTGTCTCGGCAAGAAGATGTGGCAAGACTGAACTAAGTGGAGGACCTTTTGTCAGAGGAAGTGGCTATCTTATTGCAGCAAAAAATTTACGGCATCCATAAAACTTAGCTTTATATACCCCTTCCCCATCCCAGACTTCATGGTGAACCGTAAACAAACTATTCATCATTCTTGCCGTGAAATCTAAATATAAAATTTTAAACTCACTTCCTGAGACCTACGGTGTACAAATCACGTCACTCACCCACCCAGGAAGGTTGAGAGGTTTAAATTCATTTTTGTGCTTTCTGTGTGCCAAGCGTAGGTACAGCAAGTGCCTACTCTCATGAAGCTTTCTCTCTAGTCTCCCACTAGACAGATGACATAATGCTTACATAATTAAGCAAGAGCATTATCAGAGAATTCTTGAATTTTCCCAAGAATTGAGGCCTGTGCTAGAAAGTGACTAGGGGACTGCTTTGGATTGGGTGGTCTAGAAAAGCTTCCGGAATGATATAGGGAAAAGACCTCTTGAGACACAGGAAGTGCTCAGGAAATGGTAGCTATTATTTGGATGATGATATTAGTTTACGCAATAACTCTTGCTTTGCCTACTATGTGCTTGGCACTGTGCCAGCCCTGGTGACACAATGAAGAGATTTGGTCCCTGCTTTTACAGTAAAGACTGATTTACATGTAATTATGATGACATGGAGGATAAATGCTGATGGGGGAGGGTATCAAATGATTGGTGTTCACAGTGGGAAAAACTCTGGTTAGCTCACCAGGCTCAGGGCTTGCCAAGTTAGGTTTAAAGAATGCACATAAGAGTAGTGGCTCACATAAAGTGATTTGAGTTTCATCTCTGATCCTAGTGAAGAGTTGTGTGTGTGTGTGAATCATATTTACCCAGGTCTCCACTGAACAAGGACTTGCAGGAAGATAATGAGCAAATGTCTAGCTACTCTAAAAGAATTCTGTCACGCTACTATAACTTATTCTCCAAAAAAAAATTGACTTCAAGGTGTAATTTTTAAAATGTCATCATATTAACTACCTTTTTAGCAGAACAAGAGAAGAGGGAAAGGGGCTAATGTGAACTTTGTTGTTATTGTTAAGTGCCATTGAGTCTGTTGCAACTCATAGAGACCATATAATGTACAAGGTTTCTGAGGAGTGGCTGGTGGATTTGAATTACCAGCCTTGTGATTAGCAGTTCAGTGCTTATCCTATAGTGCCATACCAGGACTCAACTGTCAAAATCTGTATTAGATTCCTGTTGTTGTTGTACATATATGTATATATAATCCCCCCATGGAGTCCTGTCCTGGTGTGGTGCTGTGGGTTAATGCGCTGGACTGCAAAAGTCAAGCTCACCAGCCACTCCTTGGAAACCCTATACATGGTCGCTATGTGTCAGAACCGACTCGATGGCACTTAACAACAACAACAACAATCTCCCCATGGCCCCAAATTTTAGATTAAGGCTGGAAAACCATCTTTTTTGATTTAGTGATTCTAAGGATCCGTTGTGTTGTGCTGTGAGTTAATGCACTAGACTGCAAAGCCAGTTGAACTGCAAGGTTGGCAGTGAAAGCTATCTGCTCCTCAGAAACCCTATACAGGGTCGCTATGGGTCGGAACCAACTCAGCGGCACTTAACAACAACAACAAGGCTTCATTGAGCCTTGTTTAGAAGCCTCATTTTGGAGTTGAACTAATTGTTTCTTTAATTTTTCCTGTAGACGTTTAACATTTGTCTTAAGGTGGGAGGCAAAGGCTGAAGAAAGATATTGTTTCTACATGTCCCAATCTGTGTGATTAAATGGTAGAGCTGTTACACAATATTGGGACAAGAGCCCATCACAGGTAAGCTGTTGACGGGTCCACAATGCTTGTTGTCTTTCTCCTTGTTTTTCTCCTTTCAGACCCTACGAAGAGGACTGAATTTTCCAAAGTATTTAACCACTGCATAAGCTCTTGATCAATAACTAATTGGGATTTCATGTCAGTGGTCCTACTTTGCATATATGTATGTAATTGTTTACTGGTAATGATGGAGTGATGAAGTGCCACAGCTGCAGTGGCGGCAGTGGCTGCCGCTGTAGTCACTGCAATAATTGCTGCAATGAGCGTCCCAAGGAATCTTACTATACAAATTTTTTCTAGTGCATGTGTAATAATTTGTAATGGGTTAGTGCTTTCCCATTTTCTGGGTATGTTTCCAGGCAGCCAAACTTCACTTCTTTGTTTCAATATGATTCTCTGGGCTATGTTGCTTTCAGTAATATTTTGGAGTGAGTAAAGTATTTTTGGGGAGAATTGTGATAAAGACTTGGGTATCATTATTCCAGGTGATAATATACTTTGGTTTTCTGTTTTTGTTATTATGGCAAATATAAAAGGTCGTGATGTACAAATCATAACAGAATCAGTAGAGTTGTTAGTAATCCAGTGTACAGGCTGCTAATTTCGATGTGCAAAATGTCCTTGTTGAAGGGTCCTAACAGAAAGGAAGGACTAGTCTCCATCTGTTAGTTCGGAGAGGAGAAAATGCATTTTGGTTATATTTAAGATGTAGTAATGGTCATACTAGACCAGGATTCCAATATCGAGAGGATGCATTATAATGAAAGGGAGTCTCAAAAGATCAGGTGTGATTACTTGCTAGGACATTAAGTCCGCTCAGTCCCTAATTTTCTAAGGTTAATTTGGCATTCAAATTTTGAGTGGTAACATTGGAAGATCAGCTGGTATGCCACTGAAGATCAAGTAACTCTTCTCCAGATGCCCATTTAGTAGGGCATCTCTGGGTGTATGGTTTGGATTCATTCCACCCAGATGTTAAGTTTCCTGTAACCCCGGTCCCCTTATGAAGGCTAGATGAACCGCATCAGTAGGCTATGGTGTATTATAATAAGTAGAACCAGTGTACCATTTATGGGAGAAAGTTACATACAATGGCTCATGTTGTTTGGAGGAGTCATTATATTGTACACAGTAGGGCAGTGCTGAGCTATTAAAGCTCCATGTTTGATTCAACCGGTGCCAGGTTGCTAAATATTCCTTACCTTGTAAGAATTGGACAAAGTTTGAGGCCAGGGGAAGCCATATGCCACCCCTGACTTTAGTGTCATTGGAGGTTATAGGTGGTTCAGGGTCCTCCCAAGTTACTGGATGGAATATGTTGTTGTTGTTGTTGTTGTTGTTGTTGTTGTTGTTGTTGTTAAAGTGCCGTCAAGTTGATTCTGACCCATAGCAGCTGGTGAGCTTGAACCACTGACCTTGCAGTTCAAATGGCTTTACAGTCTGGCGTATTAACCCACAGTGCCACACCAGGACTCCAGGATGGAATATTGCTGTTGTTGTTAAGTGCCATTGAGTTGATTCCGACCCATAGTGACCCTGTATAGGGTTTCCAAGGAGCAGCTGGTGAGCTTGAACCACCGACTTTGTAGTTCAAATGACTTTGTTATGGAATATAGGAGGTTCCAAAACATGTGTCCAGTATACTTGCCCTGAACTCGGACCCCAAAAGGAGGCAAGATCCCAACACAGATCTGTTCTTTTGGCAGGCCTTGGTAATTTCAATATTCTTCTCCAACACCGTAATTCAAAAGCATCAGTTCTTTTATGGTCTTCCTTATTTACTGTCCAGCTTTCACATGCATATAAGGTTATTGAAAATACTATGACTTGGGTCAGGCACACTTAGTCCTTAAGCTGACATCTTTGCTCTTCAACACTTTGGTCTTGTGCAGCAGAGTTACCTAATGTCATTTGATTTTTTGGCTGCTGCTTCCATGAGTATTGATGGTTGATCCAAGAAGAATGAAGTCCTTAACAACTTCAATCTTTTCTCCATTGATAAGAATGTTGTTTACTGGTCCAGTGGTGAAGATTTTTGTTTTCTTTACATTGAGATGCAATCCATAAGGAAGGCTATGGTCTTTGATCTTCATCAGTAAGT